TTAACAGTCAATTAATATAACTCAATCTCGCGACTGTACATAGTAGGATCATTTTCAACCCCAAGAAAACTATTCCATCAAACTTTAATTCAAATCTTGTGATTATTAGAGTGATTATTAATATTAAATTTTATCTTTCTTTGTTTTATAATACATAAAGAAAAAGCGGATAATGGATATATTAAATTGAAGGGAAGAGAACTTTTGAATTTTTATAGATTGAAGTCAAATTTGATCCCACTGTATTACAGTTGAGAATAATAAATTTTGTACGTACACTAAATGCTCAAATTGTACAATGGAAACAAACGAGACATGCTTAAATTATTAAATTATCAAGTTTTCAAGAAGTTATCCAACTCATAAACATTTGTATTTCAGTTTTTTAAATAAAATAAAGATAAATCTTTTTCATAAGATTTTTTCATATAATTTTGCCATTTCATTTGCCTATATTTTACAAGACAGATTGTAAAATATTAAAAACGTAATGTATCATATGATAAATATTTTAAAGATTTGTTTCATACACTAATTTGAGCACTATGCGCACATACGTACATACACATATACACATATACATACATATTCTACTTATTGAAAATGTCCTGCGTAATGTCGCTACATTTTAAGCAGCAATCTTGCAAAAGAATGGAATGTGTTGCGCTTTTTATGGTACATAGATAACATGAATGTTATACTTTGTTAGTAATTATATTTACAAGATTTATAAATCACACATCTAATAAAAAGTGACACAATTGTGCCTATTGCAATTCGCTTACGCCCTATCCTCTCCGTGAAATCGATGTTATCGATTCATCTGATGATTGTTTTGTTGTCTGACAATCATTTCGCAATTTCCAAAATTTCAAGATTCTAAAGCCAATTCACAATTCCTGGTTCAAAGAATCTGAAGATTTATGAGAATCTATGATTAGAAATTTTCATAAATCTGAGGATTTGGCAAGTTAAAAATCTAAACACATTGAGTTTCTTAGATGCAAGGATATACAAAGTTTTAAATTTATAACTGTCAGAGAAGGAAATTGCTTATGTTAAAAATATTTAAAAATCTCTTTATTTAAAATCCTTATTAAAAATCGAGAAAAAATATAAAACATAAAGATTTCTGAATTCAAACACCCAATTATTTGAAGATTTTATCGTCGAAATTCTGTTATGAACTCATGCATCTAAGATTCTTTTTTTTTTCTCTCCATAACTATTTATAATATTCTTTCCTTTTCAGAAATCTTTTCTTGCCTGATTCTTCTATTCTTCCAGAAAGAGATCCCAATATTCTCATATTTGTGGATCACTAGATAGAGACTTAAATTAATCATCATCTGTTAAAAACATCTCATACGAATAGCTTAATAAATACCGACCAGTTACGAAAATAATCCGCACTGTTTACGTAGAAGTAGTAAACTAATTTACGTTTATGTCCCTATGTATTCTTCGCAAACTCATAAAATATTTCCATCCTGCATTTCAAGTTCGAAACACAACAGATTTGAAGGAATTCTTAAATAGAGAGAGATTATAACCCTAGCACTCGGACTTGTCCTCTTCGACCAGTTGTTGGGTATCCTTTCCTGAATCAATGGGTGTAGGATCTAGTTCTCTCCTTTTTAGATGCAGTTGCGGGGGTTCTTTGTGTTGTATACTAGAAGGTTTCATTTCCGCCGGTACCTCGTACATATTACCGGCGCCAGTGCCGTTTGTAGCGCCGCTCTCCATATTTACCGCGTCGTACATGGGATTGCTGAAGTCTCGATTCTTATTAACAGTAACATCGTTCAAGTTGTATTCCACGTCAAGAGGTTCCTGTAGTTATGACAATATGATAATAATTAGAACAAGCATAGATATAAGTAAACTTTATCAATATATTACACTTATATATGATCATTAATTTAAAATGATATGTTCAATGCAAGCAACTTACCATCCTTTCATGAGCTTCTGCACCAAACTCTACATTGCTGCCTTGTCGGAAGGAAACGCTTTGAGCACCTGTGAGACTGCCAAGGCCACCAGGCTTGCCACTATAAACAATGATAAATAACAGTTTTATAAAGAAAAAATTATTGTAACATTTGAAAGTTATACTTACAATGGTCGCTTTTTGAGAACCATGAAAATCGCGGCAGCACAGAACAACACCAACAAACATATGACTATAGGAATAACTATAGCTGCGGTAGATCCATTTGCTCGAGCGGCAACTGCCGCCGTTTCACAGAATTCACCGCGGAATCCTTCGTGACAATTGCATGCCAGCTTATCATCTAATTCTTGACATCGTCCGCCGTTCTGGCAACGACATATTCTGGGCGCCGGTAGAGGCCTTTCGTTAGTAGCATCGCAATGTCTCTCATTATCATCTCTCATCAGACGTTGAAGAGGGCCAACGCTATCTGAGCAAAGACAACGGTGGCCGCCAGGAATTGTTACGCACAGATGAGTACATTGATCGTTATGGCATGGATCTCTGAGGCTGGTATTGTATCTCAGCTGATGATAGACTCTGATACCTCCAGGACTAGGAAGATTCTTAATGATAGTTTGCGGGACTCCTCTGCCAAATTTATCTTGTCGAATAAGTTCACCTGTTTGTTTAGTAGTCCAATAAAGGTTGTTCTCGAAAACATCCAATGCTATTGGATTTCTAAGTGGTCTGCCCTTCAAAACTATTCTTCTGTTGGTACCAACCAAATTAATAGCCTCAATAGTGTCCAATTTGCTGTCGGACCAATAAAGCGTATGCTCCATAGCATAATCAATAGTAAGCGACGAAGGACTAGCAATTCGTTCTGTCACAAGTGATTTACGTCTAGCACCATCCATCCAGGCTATCTCAATCTTTGGTTGATTACCCGAGTCAGCCCATATAACCTCTCCTCGTTCAGGATCAACGACCACTGCTGTTGGTTGTTCGAGATTTGATGTAATAATACTACGCCGATATCTACCATCCGATTTGGACACGACAATTTGACCACGAGGAGTAATTCCTGATTGATCAATTTCGCTCCAATATAAATTGCCAGATATCCAATCTATTGCTAAACTTGTTGGCCTAGAGTCAGCTATAAAAATTGATATTATTAGTAAAAAATACGTCATGTTGTCTATCTTTTAAATAAAAGACAACTATAATTGTAAAAAATTGTAAAAAATATTAAAATTTAAAAGTTGTTTTACTCGTAATGCAAAAATTTAAAAATTTTAAAGTTCTAAAGATTTACAAAAACAGTGATTGATTATATTGAAAGAATCAAAATTTTAACTAAAACCTGAAGAATTAAAATTTGTGCAAAACTAAAAACATCATTTCAATGAAATATAATTAATAGATTACAAAATTGAAAGGTATATGTACTTCTCATATTGAGATCTTGCGCATGTCCAATCTTTGCTTCGCCTTTTTTAGCGTTTATCATATAGGACCGTTTGATAGTATTATCATATGAGTCAATCCAGAAAATATATTCCGATCTAGGATCGAAATCAATGGCTTGTATCCTCTTCTCATTATCTATGACGTCCATTTCTTCTCTCGTGCGCAGATCATAAGCTCTGAGTTCAGGTCCGTTAGCAAATAGCAGAACAATATTATCATCTTTAGTTCGACAGACACCACTGTGTCTATCTGATAATTGGAAACCTTGGCGGCAGGAGCAGGCGTATGTGCCGTTTAAGTTCGTGCAGATGTGAGAGCATTGATGCTGACCCGTTTGACACTCGTCGATGTCTATACAGTGCTTCCGATTATCCTGCGAGATTATGTAACCGGGATAGCAGCCGCAAATATAACCGCCATCAATGAGATTATGACACTCGTGCGCACAACCGCCACGGTCATTATCTGAACAATGATGACTGTGATCTGAAAAAGGTAACACAATGTCTGATGATTCTAATTATGGGACATATGATAGTAATGAAAGGACATATGATAGTAATAAAACTCACGGCATCCCAACTCATCTGACAAATCCTCGCAATCATCCGCGAGATCACAAAGTTTCAAACGGTCGATGCATTTCTTGTTCGCACAGGTATATTCTGAAATCGGATCACATGAACGAGTCTGCTTCACACACATTGTCATATTATTCTCGTCAGAACCATCGCCACAATTGTCGATCCCGTCGCATAATTGATACCTAGCAATACACTTGTGATTGGCGCACTGGAATCGTCTGTGTGTATCACACTGAAAGTTTGCTACAAAGAACATACATAGTAACATTACCACGTTATTTTCGTTACACAAAAGACTCGAATTGGTAATGAAGTTTACCACACATAGTAGGACTCTCGTCGGAATTGTCACCACAGTCGTCGGTACCATCACAGATGTCATTCAACGAAACGCAAAGGTTATTATTACATTGGAATCGTGATTGCGGACAATATTTTCCTCCAGGATATCTCGGTGGGCAATTGATCTCGTCGCTCATATCACGGCAGTCTCGCGCACCGTCACAACGAAGATACGACGCGATGCAATGTCCGCTAGCACATTGGAAGCTTTCGTTCTGCAACAAATATATATATTTTATGCAAATTATATTTAAAATATATAATTATAATAATACTACAAATCAATTAATGCGTTTAAATACTTTGCATGTCCATTGATGGCATTGCTTCTCGTCGCTGTTATCGCCACAATCGTCCTCGTTGTCGCATCTCCATCTGGATGCGATACATTTGCCGTTTCTGCATTTGAATTCAGACTCGGAACATTGACGATACTTGTCCTTACACATCGTGCCAGCCTCGTCGCTGCCATCTCCACAATCATCAGCAAAATCGCAAAGCCACTGTTTCGGTACACATCGATTATTGTTACACTTAAAGTCCATGTTGAAATCACACTTCGGACAATTTTCCGGACGTTCGTCGGAACCGTCACGGCAATCATCCTTGCCATCGCAAAACAGCCATTTTGGTATGCATCGATAATTCGCATGTCCTGGACATCTTTGCCATCCGGTCGTACAATTTCTTTGGCGACACATATACGCTGGCTCGTCACTATCATCACCGCAGTCATTATCAGAGTCGCACATCCATAACTTCGGAATGCACTTGCCATTTTTACAACTAAATTCGGTGCTTGGATCGCAGGTACGATTGTCTAAAACGTAAAACAGATTATATAAATCATCGCAAAAGTACATCGCAATCTGTAAATTTCGAGATAAAATTGAAAACAATAAAGAACAATAAAATAAACAACAATAAAATGAAAAAAATATTTCGAACATCTTTTATTCAAAATAGAGTTCTTTATAATCAATACAGCACTCTGCTCTCGTTAATCTTCGTATCGCAATTGAGTATTCCTCTTTCGTAATCGTCTTCTGCTAATCAGTCACAGCGACTTGAATTTTTAAAATATAAAAAAAATTGCAATTGCGAATTGCAATTTTTTTCATGCTAACATAATGCTAATTTCTCGTTAACCCACAGACAATGAGTACTTTGTCATTTCATTTCGGATGATATTATAGATGAAACACCAGCTTTCATTGCCAATAATTGAAATTAATATAAATTTATAATTGAAATTTATTATAAGTGAAAGACTAAAGATTTTTGATAATATTCCAAAAGTTCAAGCTACTGTAACCAAATCAACAAGAAACAATTATAAAAGGAAGACGTGAGTGAGCGCGCGCGCGCGCGCGCGCGCGTGTGTGTGTGTGTGTGTGTGTGTGTGTGGTGTGACTTCCTATAATTTACATTTTGTATAAATCATAAAATTACAAAGATACCATTTATTTGTTAATTTGTTTTAAGTTTGTTAACATCACTTTTAAATGTTAAATTTTCATATAACCGATTATAGAAAAAAAGTATTATTAGTTCTTTATTCAGTGAATTCTTATTTACTATAAAAAGCTTAAAAGCAATCCTTTATGACTTTTGACACAAAATTCTTGATACAAAATTCTTTTTTCAATTAAAAACTTTAAAAGTTACATCATTGTTACACCGTTTTATTAATAATAAAAACTCTAAAAACTTGTTCTTTTTTTCTTGAAAATAACGCTCAAAAATGATAATCCTTGAATTATGTCATTGTGATAAATAAACTAACAAATGTGGATAAAAAATATTAAATAAAAATATTTACGACAAATAGAAGGATCTTCATCGCTGCCATCTTTACAATCAGCATCTCCATCGCATTTCCAGGAATCATGTATACAACGACCATTGGATTTACACTTGAACTCGAGTTCCCCGCACTCGAGTGCGCATTTAGCTTCGTCGCTTTTGTCACCACAATCGTCGGCTCCGTCGCAAATTGTAACGCTCAGCGTACAATTACCATTCGCGCATTGAAACATGCTTGGCCGACAAATCCTCGTTGGACAGCTTGATGACTCATCAGAACCATCTTTACAATCTTTTTCTCCATCGCACCTACCGCGTGCAATTCTTATTGTCATTTTTCTATTAAATGCTCGGCAAAAGGAAATGCGACTTAATATGAACATCTTACCTCCAATACCAGGGAATGCATTTTTCGTCAGGTGGTCCACAACGATGCTGACCTGTAGTGCAGTTTGCTATACACGTTTTACCATCTTTGTCCAAAATGAACTGATTTGGGCATTTGCATTTATAAGAGGTGACTCCAGGCTGGCCGTATCCCTCGAGCAAATATGAACTAGCAGGCGGTGCGATTAGACAGAGATGTGAACAACCGCCATTGTTCTCCGCACAGGGATTGTTATAAGGCAACTGCCGAAGAGGATGATATGCGTGGATGTCATAGGGTCGATGGGTGGTATTGCGAAGCACTTGTAGGCGAGCACCGGAGAACTTTTCCGCCCTGCTAATCGCTTTTAGATTCCAATCGGTCCAATAAATGAAATCGTCGAACACAGTGATGGCAAACACGTGCGGGACTGAAGCACCAGATAAAACAATCCGACGATTGTGACCTTCGAGATCGGCAAAGGCGATATAATCTAGATGAGCATCAGCCCAGAAGATACGATCAGTAAAATAATCGATCGTCAGAGCGTTCGGCCAGGCGATATCGTCTTCCCACGTCAAAATTCGAGTGAAATTACTGCCATCCATGCCTATTTTACCGATGTACGCCTGAAATTCAGATCGTGATTCGACGATTATTGTTTTGTAATTGTATTTACAGTACAATTATACGAAAGAACTATGACACTTATTATTAATTATAAAATAATATAAAATCTACCTGAAGATGCCAAGATGTAAAATATAGATATCCGGTACCGGGATGAACCGCGATTGCACGCGGATCCGCTATTCCATTCTGCAAAGTTTTTCGATTTGTGCCATCAAGTTCGGCAACGTCCAAATGCTTTGCGTGACGATCTAACCAATACAATTTCCGACCAATCCAATCGATAGCGATTCCTTCGAGACCCAAACTGTCGTGACGGATGATAGGTTCTCTCTCGCCACCATTCACTGGTGCTCTAAATAACAAAAACATTTAAATAAAATAATCTCGTTAGCAAGAAAAATATCCGTTTTCGTGTAATCATTAAACATCAAAATGAATATATACCATGTATATGCAGTATGTATAATGAAAGAATGATTTTAAACTATTTTAAAATATTTGGCCAAATATAAATTTAAAAATAGTTTTATTAGTTTATTTAATTTTTTTACTTTTAAATATTTTTATTTATTTTATTTTTAATTTATTTCATTAAAATTATAAGATCTAAATATGATAATAATACTGATAATAAAAATGTTTCATATTCTAATAATTAATTTATATGTTTTATAATACTTTTTATAATAATTATTTTGATGGTTTAATAAAAATATTTTCAAATCTAGCCAGATCTTCAAATACTTCAGCAAAACCATTCTTTCCGTATATATTTATTATTGCGGTACCTGTATATTGTTTTCGCGGTAACATCGCAAAAGTATAACATCTGTTGGCCATAATCCGCATCAAGTGCAACAACGTTAATCAGATCCTGATGCATCAAGCTATAATTGGATGCGTCGGTCGACATATTTCTAACGTAATACTTATTCGTAAATATAATCCATGGTTGAATATTGTCTCTTCGCTTGCACGTATGTTCGTCAGCCTCTCTCTCGTACCAACGTTCGTTACACTTGCAATAGTAGCCGCCAGGTGTGTTTTCACATTGTTGGCTGCACACTTGAGGCGTCTCGATGCACTCATCAATATCGTCACAGGCCTTGCCATCGGCCAGCAGTTTATAGCCAGGGTTGCACTCGCAATAGAAGCTGGTCGGTGTGTCCACACATTTGTGTCCGCATTGATTCAACTCGACACGGGCGCACTCATCCACGTTACAGTGCAACGGCTCGTCGCTCTCGTCAGCGCAATCAGGCTCCTTGTTGCACACCAACTGCGAATCAATACAGTTGCCGTTCGCACACATAAAGTCCTTTGGATTCGGACATGTCGTGTTTTTCCCTTTAGATGCTAAAGAGATTAAACAGAATGTTTTTGTTAATTGCAATAATACTTCACACCAGGAATAAAAATTATGTTTAAAATGCATGGATTTACTTAAAAATTTGAACTTATATTACTTACGACATCCCACTTCGTCCGAATGATCGCCGCAATCGTCTTGCCCATCACAGCGGAATTGTTTGCGTATACATTTAGAATTTTGACAAGTAAATTCTTGGCTGTTACAAGGTTTATACTGAGAATTACAAAACTTGCCCTCGTCGCTACCGTCGCCGCAATCATTATCGTGGTCGCATAACCAGCTGCGGTTCAGACACCGTCCATTGTTACATGTAAATTGATTGTCGGCGCAAGGAGTTGGCTCTGGACAGTGATGCAGAGTTACATTTTCATCGGCTCCATCGACGCAGTCCGGATCTCCGTCGCATAGCCACTTCTTCGGAATGCATTGAGCACGATTCCATATTTTATTCGCGGTACAAGTAAACTCCGTTTCTTCGTCACATTTCCTGTCATCTATATCGAAATCAATTAACTACATGAAATACAACATAGATTTACATTGTAACATAGAATTGGAATATTGCAAGTGTCGAAGATTCAAATAAATGACGATGAACGCATGATTAAAACTTACTGCATTGATGACGTTCATCTTCATCAGAATTATCCAGGCAATCATTGTCCCCATCACAGATGTAGATTCTAGGAATGCAGTTACCATTATCACATGTGAACAAATCGCCGAAGCATGTTCGACCTTCAGATTGACAATAACCAGGAGGCTCGTCGCTTCCATCTAGACAGTCATCGTCTCCATCGCAATACCAAGTGGCTGGAATACATCTGAACAATACACGCATGCATTTAAAAAAATATTTTCTGTATAATAGAAAGATTACATAAAAAAAACAATTTTATAAAAATCTAAAAATTTAACCAAATACAAATAAATAATTTTGTTGGGCCAGATGAAGATAATTACTTCAACAGCCAAACTTAAAGAAACAGATTATGCGCAGAGACTTGAAGAGACAGATTCTGCTAAAAATTTCTGATGCTAGAAAGGCAACAGATTTCACATAGATTCTGTAATATCGGCGAATTGCTGCCAGAAATGTAGAATCTGTTATATTGCTTGCCAGCAGATTGGCAGCAGAAATTAAGCAGAGCCTGCTGACAGATTAACGACAGAAATCAAACAGAATCTGTGTAACGCAATTTTATAATAGATTGAAACCGAAAACCGAACAGTTTCTGCACAATCACTAAATACAATATATAATTGCAAACCTAGCTCGCTAGATTACATTAATTTCTCGCATATTAAATTTATCAGGTTCTCTATATAATCAAAATTGCTATAACTGTTGTAAATTCAAATAAATTATTATTTACGAATCTTTTATGTATGCTATTATTTACCTATCTTTTATATTATATGCATGTAGTGCAACACATAATTGTTGTGTAGCAAAGAAATTAATAAGTATAGTAGGAAAATAATTATTGGTACATATAAAAATCAATGTACATAATATATAATTTTAAAAAGAATTTCATAATTTACTTGTATTGTAAAATTATTAATTTTTTTATTAATAAAAAACAGTTACAAATTTTATTCTTTTAAAATAAGAAATAAAAAGATAAAAACATTATTTTTCAATGTTACAATTAAATGATTATAAAAGAACAGAGTCTGCTCGATTTATATTGCCAGTCTGTCAGCAGGATCTGCTCGATTTCTACTGACAGTCTATTGGAATAAAATGTCAACAGTTTCTATTAACAGAGCAAAAGAAGAATGCGATTTCAGATGAGATCAGTCTGCTAACATTTTCTGATTTGTTGCCGACCTTCTGCTAACATTTTGCTGACTGGGTATACAGGACATTTAAGCATGATGATAATATTACAAAATTTTTTTTTTATGTTCTAGCAACTAATGTAAAAGTCTTACATAATTATGTTGATAATCAAATCAAATTATTTTCAGATCTAGCCAAATTTTTATACTTCAACAAAATCGTTTTTTTTTTTTTCGTGTACAAAATATACTAATGTACTATAACTTTTAAAATAATTTTGATAACGCATTCAACTATATTAAAATTATTCATCAAATACAGTTTTACCTATGATTGGGACATCGGAAACTATTCTGAGGGCAAGTTCTTTGAGCGCAATGAACAGGATTCTCATCACTATTATCACCACAATCGTTGTCGCCGTCGCAAAGCCAATAAGGCTCCACACAAATGTTTGTTTTTTCACATTTGAGATGATTCAATGGACATGTAGTATTGCGAGGGCATCGTTCATGCGTTTCGTCGGAAGTGACATTGTCTTTGCAGTCATTAATGCCATTGCACACCTGAGATTGCGGAATGCAACGGAAGTTAGCGCAAGTAAATTCTCCTGATGCACAGGGCGGATATACGCAGCCTTCCTCATCGCTACCGTCTCGACAGTCGTTCTCGTGGTCGCACTTCCATGTTTTAAAGATACACCGACCATTGTTGCAACGGAATTCATTCGGACTGCACGAATGATAAGCTGAAACACGAAGATTCATACATAAACATCTATGTAAGAATATTCTTTGAATTTATTTATTCTAAGCTTTGTGACACTCACAGCAATAACTTGTGTCTTCGTCAGACCCGTCGCCGCAATCATCATCACCGTCGCACGCCCACATTCTAGAGATGCATCTGCCATTTCTACAGGCAAATTTGTTTGCGTCACAAGTGACATTTTTTGGTACGCACATTCTGTCTTCGTTTACCAGCCTGCTATTATCATCGCATTTGCACTCCGCGGATCCATTGTGGCTTGGATGGCAAGATTGGTCACAACCGCCATTATTAATGTTGCAAGGATTAACAGAACATTGCTGTCTGGCCGCAGAAAAGATATGAAGATCTCGAGGTGAGTCCTCCAATCGTTTCACCAATTCGATCTTGTCAGCTCCAGTGTATTTCTCCGCTCGATAAACTCCACGAAGTTGAAGATCTGTCCAATAAATATGCTCCCTGAAGACAGTAATAGCGAAGGGATAAATAGTAGCGCTAACCAAAACTTCCCTATTCTTCCCCTCAAGATCAGACCGTTCGATTTTTTCGCGCACAGCATCAGTCCAATACAACATCCGATCTTCGTAATCAATTGCCAAACCACTGGGTTGCGAAAGGTCTTTGTCGATAATAGCGCGTTTTAGAGATCCCGCCATAGTGGTTTTAAAGATTTTCCCGGATGTCCCGAAACGACCCCAATCCGTGAAGTAAAGCGAGCCGTTGCAGGGATCAACGACGATAGCGCGTGGACGATCCACACGTGCAATCATCACCAAATTAGACCCATCAATATCCATTGCGTAGATGCTGTTATTAGATGAATCTGTCCAGTATACCTTCTTCTGAGTCCAGTCATACGAAATACCTTCGGGATTAATCCCTTTACTAATTAACGTGTGCAAATCGGAAGAAGATGGTCGATCTGATGGTGTCCATGCAATTTTCGCCCATGGGCGAATCTGAGTGAACAACAGTTTCTTATCTTGATAATCAAAATCTACTCCGACCACATTCGTTAGATTTCCAACAGGTGCGAAGGGTACATTAGTATTACGTGGATCTATATTAATGGCGCGAATCTCAGTTCGTGTGGCAAATATCAAGTATTCTTCAACATTTTCGCAAGTACGACTATCGGAAGAGAGTTTACCCATTGCACAATCGCAGGTAAATGATTTAGGATTGTCTTTCGGATAAGCAAAGCACAATTGAGAGCATCCACCATTTGTCACCTAAAGAAATAAAAACCAATTTTTTTCTTGTTTTATTTATTTTTGATATTATTTTTCTTAATTATTTTTTAAAATAGTTTTAAGCTTCTTTCGCAAAAAAGTTCTACATTTTTAAATAAAAAGTTAAATGTCTCGATTTACCTGCGAACAAGGATTTGTGGGATCCGGTAGCTGACTGTTTTGATCAAAGATAGCGATGTCCCTAAGCTTTTGAAGATTTGTTCTTACGGGAATAGGAAGGCTAGTATTGCCTTTTAGTTTGCTCGCCTTAAAAACAGTGGCCAAATTTCGATCTACCCAATAGACGTCTCCGCCGAAAATGGCAACGCCCATTGGATTCGGAAGATTTCTGCGGATGATTTCTCGATTTCCACCGGTGTAGGATACTTTTTGGATAGTATCCAATTTTGAATCTACCCAATAAACATCGTGTGTTGTAAGATCAATCGTTAGATCACGTGGTGTGCTAATACCGGATGTCACAATAGGAGACCAATTGCTACCGTCGAGGAAGGCCTTGCCTATTCGAGGATATTGTCCATAATCGATCCAATATAAGTATCGTTTTATAGGATTCACAGCCAACTCTCGAGGCGCATCTGTTGTTGTTTTCACAAGCACTTTTCGATTGGAACCATCCAACCAACAAACTTCTACGTAGTTGTCATGAGGAAAAACATTGGCAAAGTACAAGTTTCCTGCAATCCAATCCACAGCCAGACCACGGATTCCATTGGAACCGATTCCTTGTTTAACTATTTGTTGCAATTCTGTACCGTTGGGTCGTATTCTAAAGTATAATAAACAAAATTTAACATTTGTTACACCACTTTCGTAAAGAAATCATAAATTTAAAGATTGGTATATCTTAGTTTGTATAAAAACAGTTAAAATAATCTTGTTTTACCTAAAGATACCATTCCAAATGCCTCGATTGAATTCCACCCAATAAATCCAATTATCTGCATAATGTACGTCCACATGAAGGATATGATGACCAACTCCGGCAATGGGTATCATAGCTTCTTTAGAATCTTTAAGACTGTAACCTCTGGCAACATCCAACTGAGTTACCACCGCAAAAGTTTTGTAAGGTTCACATCTAGTTTCGGTGACTTTCTTGTATTCCATTCCGCAAGCACAAATGCGTGTACCTCCAGACGCAGGTAAGCAAAGCTGTTCGCAATCACCATTATTTATAAGGCAAGGATGAGACCCAGTTGCACGTTTTTTATAAATGGTTAAAGTACGAAGCTCAGAATCATTATCAATAATAGTGACTGGATTATCGCCATTAGGCAAGTCAACACGCTCAATTTTATCATAAAGTGGATCCAAATAGTATAAACGAGACTCATGAACAGCTATTGCTTTAGGCAATGCCATATTATTTGCTGCAGTGAGAATGGTGCGGACATTCAAACCATCCGTTGACATGGCTTTGATGAAAGCCGGATTCTGACAGGAAAAGTATAGCGTCTTGCTAGGTATATCGATGGTGATTGCTTCAGGACGTTCTAGATTCTCTGCAAGAACTAACGGATTGCTACCATCCATATTTACTCGCCCGATTTTTTGGGGCACTCCAAAACCTCCTTCGTCTACCCAAAACACTTGTCCGTCAATAGGGTCCACACACATTGCCTTTGGTTTAGATACTGATGATCGATTTCCATCGTTCGACAAAACGATTGTGCGATATCGCGTCTTTCCATCTAATTTGATGGCCTCAATATTGGATGCGAATTTATTGCCAATAAATAGATTGCGTCCAAGCCAATCCAATGCCATCGTGGATGGTGAACCGACAATACCAGTATCGCCAGTAGGATTTGGAAACTCTGTCCGATTACCACCGTTATAGGAAATAGTATAAATTGTGCCATTTTCGTTGTCACTATCTTTACCTGATGTAAAAAAATATTTAAATTTCTTAAATTTCAAAAATCTTGGCGGAAAAAATTCTACAACCTTTTATGTAATAATTCCACGGAACTATAACTAATAATTTCGATAAATATACGGAAATACCATAACTAAATTAGATACAACGTGAAAAAAAGTTTTAATGTCAAACTACGCTAAAATTACAATTATTTATCAGAAAAAATGCGTGATCTTGCGGATATTTTCTTCATTTATTATTGATGAGCATACTATGATGTAGAAATTGGTTTTTTCTTACGCGTAAAAACTTGTAATTATGTGTAATTTTTACCAGTTTTTATATGTTTAATTATAACTTACAGACATAGATCTACAGATATAATAATGTTCACTTATTCGAGCTCACTATATCATAATGACATTGAATGATAAATGTTATATTAATGAAATATCCAATGGATGTCTTAGCGATTAATATCAATGTTATTTTCTTCCTAATTTTGTAATATTTATTATAATTCTTTGTAATAAAAATCACATTAATGTATATTATAAAAAATTATATTTTTTATTTCGCGAATTGTTTTCGAACCAATAGACTGACTATTAACACATTTTCCAAAATAATATATCATATTTCATAAATGATTACAACAATATTTCATCAACATTTTTGCTTATTGTTTCGCTAAGCATAAATAAATAATATCTAAATTTGTATAATGTTTGTTATAATATATCGTAAACAATTATAATTCTTTAACAGATTTTGGCCGATCATTGTAGAAAGTTAGGTGATTGGTTACATTGAAATTTCAAAGTAACTTTTTGAAGTAATTTGTAATTCCATTTTTGAATACTATTAATTATTAGACAAAACTATTTCTAATAATTGTCTATGATAACTTTTGGATTTTAAAGATAATGCATAATAAGTTATATGTTTTTGAAAGATTAGTAATTAAATATGTATTGCTTATACTTTATATTTTTAAGATAACATTGATTGTTATAACTTATCACTAAAAATTATAATTTTAATCAATCAGTTTTTTAATACTACAAACTTCTACAATAATCTATTTAGATGGCATTTAACTCTCTATAGTTCTACATGGATATTTCGAATCCGGATAGTTTTTATTCACAGAAATTTCCCAGCATGTTGAAAGATCCCGGATTTATATTATATTTTAATTTCGTACACAATGAAGTATAAATCCGGGTATTTGTTCTAGAAATTTGAAAGTATATCTGTGAATTTTTAAAATGAGAATGTAATGTTTAATTACATTCGTCTCGATTGCAGAAGTTCATTGTATATTTTGAAAAGTTGTAGAAATCTTCTTTCTTATGCGAAATTACATTCTATTAAGACATTTACAAATTTCGTAATATTTTGTAGTATTTTCTATGAAGTTATAAAAATGCGTGAATTAGTAGTAAAATCACGTAGTTTGTAGATTTTTTCTGCCAAGGTTTAAATCATAAGAATCATAAGAAAAATTAGTAAGCTAAGTAAAAAGTTATTACTATACCTTGTAACCAGTAAATAATACGGTCTCTTTTGTCATATTCAATAAATCTTCCGCCTTCCACGCCTACAATAGGCGTAATGTATCCAGTCTTACTTTCTCCAGGTGTTAAAGAAACATCGATGATCTGAGATCCTCGGAGAACCATTAAATATGGCATCTCTTCTTCCATACAACGTCCATCAAATAACAATTTAAATCCAATCTAAAATAAACATTAGAGAAAATGTTATTCAATTTAAGTAAATATAATTTCTGATAGTTTCATACTTTGAAATTTCAATGTAACCAATCACCTGACATTTGCAGTTGTACCCTTTTGGATTACTGGGCGATAAAAGACAAAGATGTTCGCAAGATGCATTAGCGCAAGGATTCGCAGTAATCGGCTGTAATACTGGATGATGGACATGTATAGAAAGAGGCTGTGAGATTAGATGCGAAACAACTGTTTGATTAGAGCCCTTAAATTTGTGTGCAGAGAGTACTCTATTGAGTTGCCTATCAGTCCAATACATAGTATCTTCGAAAAGAGTAAGCGAATGAGGATGTAAAAGATAGTGTGAACTGGCTAAAACTTGAAGTCTCTTGCTACCATCATAGAGACAAGTATCAATAAAATCTAGCTTGCTGTCTGCAAAATATATCCTACGATTTGCGATATCTAGAGCCAGACCATTAGGCCAATAGATTTTTGTGCTGATGACAGTTGATCGATTAGTGCCATCCATTCCAATTCTTTCAATTCTAGGGTTCTCACCCCAATCAGTCCAAAAGAGCCACCTCGCGCCTGGACTGGGATCCAAACACATTCCACGTGGCTGTGTAATATTCTCTTTAACGAGAATCATCCTTCCAACTCCAGTCTCTTTAGCTACTTCGATCGTATTAAGTTTTGAATCTAACCAATATAAATTCTGGCCAATCCAGTCATAGGCAAGACCTTCTACCAAATCTAAACCGGTACTAATAATATCTTGAGGATCACTACCGCGATCCAATCGCGAGATGCGCTTCAATTTCATGTCTGACCAGAAGATAGTACCTGTATGCATATTACTAGCAGTTGCTACAACGTTTTCTACGTTAATAGGAACTCGTTCCAATGCCTGGTCCTGAAGATCAGCCACCAAAATGGTATGTCTATTAGAGATAATCAAAAACGCGGCACTGTGATTGAATGCCTTGCACGTATGCTTATCTGCATCTAATGTGTAACCATCTACACAGCTGCAATAATAGCTGCCCTTTGTATTCACACAGATCTGTGAACATTTTCCTTGTGGCTCACACTCATTCATGTCTTGACATGTAAAGCCATCACTATTAAGTTCCTCGCCACCTGGACAAAAGCACTGCGCGCCAAGCGGAGTTTGCATACAACCCTTGGTACATAATCCAAACTGATGCATGCACTCGCCGAGATCACAGCCGGGTCCTTCGTCTCCCCCATTGGGACAATCCAGCTTACCGTCGCATACTTTGTCAATATGTACGCAACGATTTGTTACGTTTGGACATTTCCAATGCTCGGCTTCGCATTTGAATATAGGAGGGCCGCATGCGTGCAGCTCGGTATCTTCATCGGAATTATCTCCGCAATCGTCCTTGCCATCACAGATATACGCCTTGAATATACATTTCTCGTTTCGGCATCTGAAAAATATATATCAAATTAGATATCGATCGTATCTCGAGATGTATATTCGTTTATCTGCTTTCTAAAAAAGGATAAAAATCCAAAGAAATTTAATTATTGAAGTCAAACCTGAAAAATCCATTCTGACAGTCAACCTTTCCGCATGAATCCGGTTCGTCAGACTTGTCCGGGCAATCCGCAGTACCGTCACAATACCAACTTCTTGGTATGCAAATAGCTGAACTAACACACTGAAATTGTTTATCAGTATTACACTGATCCGGTGCCAATGATGGACAGCCTACTTCGTCCGATCCATCATTGCAATCACTAATACCGTCACACTTGTACGATGCTAAAACACACATTTTTTGATCCGCGCACGTAAATTGCGTACTAAGACAAGTAACTGGTGGACAATCCATTTCGTCCTGTTGATCGAAACAATCACTGTCCCCGTCGCATACCCAAGATTGCGGTATACAGTGACCGGAACGTGGGCAGGTAAATTGAAAGTATGAACAAGTTTTCGCTGCGCAAAACTCGCCCTCGTCAGAGCTGTCGCCACAATCGTTCTCGGAATCGCATTTCCAAGTTGCGGGTATGCAACGGTTATTGGCGCATGCAAATTGGTTAGCACTGCAAGTTATATTCGGGCAACCCATTTCATCACTGTAATCGCCACAATCGTTTTCAGAGTCGCAGTGAAACGTCATCGGTACGCATCGACCAGATTTACATTGGAATTCATTTGCGCTGCAGGTTGGTTTTGTACAATTTTGCATTTCATCACTGTTGTCGAGACAATCATTTTCACCATCACATACCCAGGATTTCGGGACACATCTAAAAATAAATTCATAAAGATTTAAAATTTGCAAATTCATAAAAAATTGAAATTGAAATTTAATCACTCTAATTATATAAGATTGTATCATTTGTTTTATTTCTTAAATAAATTAGATGTTCAAACACAGCAATAATAAACTGAGACAGAGACTGAGATAAAATTCTTAACTTTTTTGAGAATTTTATTATATGATTGCAAACAATTATCTCTAATTATTAATTAAGAAAATTAAATTACCATATACCTTTGGTTTGCACAAGTAAAGTCCCAAGTATGTGGACAAGCCTGCAAAGGTGGTTCCCCATCAGGATCGACTGCACAACTCCTGCCGTTGCTTTGAAGACGTTCTCCATAAGGACATCCGCATATTTGCGTGAGTTTTGGTAAGGATTGCATACCAGGAAACGTAATAGTATCAGAATGCGTAGAATTATCCGGAATAGCAAAGCAAAGTTTCTCACAGCCACCATTATTGATGATGCAAGGATGATTAGCTGCCGTTTTTTGGATGTCACGGCTGAAGACTTTTACGCCATAAAGTCTATTGGTAGCAGGTTCACGGACTAAAATAGCTTCTTGCTCGCCGGTTTCTTTATGCAGGCGAATAATGGCGTCAAGACGCCAATCAGTGATATACATCCAATTTTCATGAATGGCAATAGAAAATGGATGTCGGATTAATCTGGAGTTCACCGTTCGCACATCTGTTCCATCCAAATTCGAGTGCTGCACGTGATCTAAAAGAGCGTCACACCAGTATAATCGATCTTTGCTAAAGTCAATCGCCAATCCATTTGGCCAGCCCAAAGTTAGGTTTCTAAAGACAACTAGATTAGAGCCATCAGCATGAGCTCTACTTATGTTAGCTGGACGATCCCATTCGGAAAAGAAAATGTAACCTTGATTCGGGTGGATCACGATCGCGCGAGGACGCTTCAGATTCTTCAATAGCGTACGACGATACGTGACATTACGAGTGCTGAGTACATTTAATGTTCCTAAAAAATAAAAAAATTCTAATTGACTAAATAGACTTGCTACTTTTCTCGGCTTATAATTTTTATTATGTCTTTGTCAAAAGATTAAATAAAAAATTAAAAAGTTAACAAAATTTCGTATTATAAATTTCGAATCAAAGATTAATTACTTAAAGATGCAATAAGATTTTCATTAACAAACCTTTACGTGAATCGATGTAGTACAAGTTTTTCGCGGCCCAATCGACTGCGAGTCCTTCCACTCCTTCATTTTGACTAGCCAGAACAATTTCACGTCCAGTCGCGTTTTGGTGTATCCTGTATATAACGTCTTGGAGAACATCACTGTAATAAATATATTGGTCGTGTGCATCGTAGTCTAAGCCAACAAATCGCGCCCGCCTAGATACTACCGGCAGAATAGCATCGCTAAAACCTTCCATTACAGGATTGAGTACACGACCTTTGATGAACCTCTGCTGCGAATACATAAGAAACTCCTGCACCAAATTGCAATTTCTCATGTCACTTGCTAATCGCCAGCCAATATGGCAAGCGCAACGATAGCCTAATCGATTATTCTGATCGCTAGACGCCGTAACGATGCACATGTGTTGACAACCACCGTTATTATTGCCGCAAGGATTGGAGACACTGGGTTGCAAGAGTGAATGTAAGGCTTTTATAGCTTTGGCATCGCGTACCTTAAAAAAAGATTAAATGTTATAATATGAGTTTAATACAAAATCTTTATCTTTATTTTCTTTTTAATCTTTCTCATCTTTCTCAAACGAAAAATATTAAAACAAAAGTTGTTCTATTGAATAACGTGACACCATCAGCAACTAATTGAAGAGAAAATCAATTTATAAATTGCTGTAGAAATGAATTAGATTGCTTTTTATTCGCTACTAAAATGTGTTATCGATATACAAACTCCAATATCTGATTATCATATACATACTTTAAATACATTTTGAATGGAATAATCTCCTTGAGTCTTGTCAACACTCATAATAGCTTGTTTAGTGCCGTCCGTCCAGAATATCCTGTTTTCGAAAAGAGTGAGTCTGATTGGAGATGGCACTTGAGACCCTCTAAGAATCATCACTCTGTTTTGACCTCTATAATTCGCCGTCTCAATGTAGTCCAATAAGGAATCGCACCAATAGATCCTCTTGGCAATAATATCCACAGTCACGCCGGAAACTTTATAGGCTGCTTCGGAGACAACGGGGAACGCATTGGTACCATCCATGTTAGCGCGTAAAACTTGCTTGCTGTCAGCGATAAACATGAGACCCTTCGTGGGATCCAGCGCGATATCGGTCGGACTGGTGAGATTGGAACCTACTACAATTCCATGATATCGTCCATCTAACTCGAATACGTCTACCTTTTGTACAATGGAATCTGCCACATAAAGTTTATCGCCGATCCAATCTACTGCGATGGATATAGGTCCCCAAGAGCCTGCCATACTGATGTCAACTTTAGCTGGTGTTTCATCGCCGAGATTGAGGGACTCCGAATGCACTTTCCGTGTCTTCATATCGCTCCAAAAGAGCAGATTTCGCGAATACAAATAATCTATCCCGCTTGCACCAGTAGTGTTCGCGATTATCTTGCGGTCTTCGCCAGTCGCACTCAATCGCCACACTGCGCGATCTTGCGCAAGCAAAAGCTCCAAAACCGAAATGTTCTGAGCACGACATTTATTATGTCCGTGAAGAATGTAACCGGGTGCGCAATGACACATATACCAGCCATCCGTATTCTCACACAACTGTTCGCAGAAGCCCCACTCGGAGCACTCATCTCGATCTACGAAAAGGAAAAATACTTATGGGCGACGCGAGAAGGAAAAAAATACAGAAATACGGGTGTACTTCATAAATAAATTTTTAAACCAATTCTTTTTATGTAAAATTTTTAATTGTATTATTTATATTATTGAACCTTTTATTATTGAACATATTATTGAACATTTTAATTTGTACATTTTAATTTGTTAAATAACTTACCAACGCAGGTACGTGAATCATTGGCAAGGATTCTTCCTTCAGGGCAGTAACAAGTCCCTCCCGTGGGAGACGCTTGACATTTATGTTGACACCCAAGTGAACCGCACATGCTCGTCGCTATACATAGAATTTTTGTCTCTTTGTATATTTACAAATCTAATCAGAATCTAAATAATATAAACATTAAACGAGAATTGTTTGATACAATTTTCGGTGTCATCTTTTTTGTTTTTGTACATTGATTATTCCACAACTGTTACAAATCAGATTTATATAACTATCAATAATTGCAATTATGCAATAAACTTGTGTTTTATATAATCTTTTAGTATTAGTTAAAAAGATAACTAATACGTAATCGTAAATTATGTAAACTTTTTATGTTTAGCATTGCAGTTAAATATATAATTAAACAACAACACTTACAACATGCCGCTTCCTCGTCCGCTCCGTCCTCGCAGTCCTGTTTTTCATCACATAACTGAGATCGGTTGATGCATAATGGTTTACCATCCGTTGCGCCTTTCGGGCACATAAACTTATTTCCTGGACAAACTGTCAAGGTGCAGGACTTTTCGTCGGAACCATCCTGGCAGTCTTTATAACCATCGCATTGATATGCTATGGGAATGCAGAGCGCATTGGCGCACCGAAATTGGTCACTAGTGCAAGGCGGAAAACCTGTGCATTATCAAGAAAATCTTTTATTAACATTATTTGTAGAAGTTGTTATAATTTAATTTCATAGACGATAAATTAATATCACTTATTAAAAGATATCTTCTAATAATTTCATACTTTAAATATAGAAAATCAACAGGAAAAAATATTATTTACCTGAAATTAATATATTATCGAACAAATTACATTGAACAATCTTTTATTGATATTATTTGTAGACATTGTTAATTTGGATTTTAATTTCGAAGATAATATATTACGCATTCATCAAAAAACACCTTTTGATAATTTAATATAATCTAAATATACGAAATTAACAGAAAAGAAAGAAAAATTGCATTCAGTTGAAATGCATTATTGAAAAAGTTTGTTAACATTATTTATAGAAATTGTATCTAGGATATATGTTGATGAGATGAAACGGAGGAGATAAAGGATAAAGAGAAATACTCAAGAAAGCAAATAGAACAATGAAGTAGAAATCTGAAGTGAAAAAAGATTTTTTAATGAAGATTAAGAGGCTATTTGAGAGATTTATTGGTTCTTGTAATGATATGTGGAACTAAGATATGGCTAGAAAAATTGGAAATGGAAAAATTGGAAAAAATTTAATTGAAATTTAATAAAAATTCTAGGTTTTAATTCCTGCACTAGGATACATTATACTTAAGCAAACAAGATTAAATTAGAATTAAATTAAAAGTAAGACTAAATAAAAAGAAAAATAAGAATAAATGAAAGCAAAAAATGTTCAATAAGATATAAAAATTAAAATATCTCAAAATATCTCAAAAATTACAAATAACCCAGATAACCAAGGGTGCTTTCCATTTAGTCAACACAAATATCATTTTGTCCTTGTTAATCATTGAAAGCCAAGAAAGATATTTGAGAACGATACTGTGTCGACTTGTGTCACTAAATGGAAAGCATCCCAAATGTCTTTAAAATTGCCATCATATTGCATACCGTTGAAGCAACCAATTTGTAGAAATTCGAGACAAGATGCTTCGTCATTGTGGGTCTTAGATCATACTCGCGTGAATTCGATTGCAGATCGACATCAGATTCCAGCAAATTGATGGGCAACTTATTGACATTGATTTGCTCTCCCCCCCTCCCAAATTAATTGACAATAACAATATGATAGTAACGAGTTGTCATCGATTTGTCATCTGCGATTAACATTTTGATTGCAACATGATAGCAATATGAAAACAACTTGTCACTATATTCGTAAAACAACCTATTGACGGCAACATGATGGCAATATTTGCCAAATAATAAATGTTATATATCTCAGACAGCGTCAAGTTGTCTAAAGGATAATTTAAAAATGTGTAAATTTTTATAAAAATATTTTTAATGAAAGAATATATTTTAGTAAGAGCTTGCGAAGAGATGACTTATTGTAATCTTTTAGTCGCCTTTAAGAATTTGTTTCATATATTCTAGTTGTCTCTAATATTTTTTTAAACATTTTTTTATCGTCTTAATTAATAATTGTATTGTCAAAATAGTATTTAATTTACTTTCATCTTGGAGTCTCCCATCTGGAAAGAATTTTATTTGATAATAAAATCTCATTTTGAAAACTCGTCTTCAAAAAATTATTTCACTAAAAGTGGTTGAAATGAATTCATAATATTACATCGTTATTCTATCGTGTATAATTTACTTAGAAGTAGAACTTTGTTGCGTCCATCTGTTGCATATATTTTACTGATGAGCGAAAAGTATAATTCTTAAAGTATACATCTCTTTATTAAACAGTGTCGTAAATGTGTGACATTTTATATTATCAACACTTTGGCTGCGTTCATTGCCAGTACTGAAAATCTATAATATACGTGACATGAACTATATATTTTCAGTACTGCAGTGAATATCAAAACACAGCCTTTGTTAGCAACGAGCTACATTTGGAAAACTTTATAGCTTAAAGCGATATATACGCAACAACAAATGAAAATCATTATATGTTTTATTGCCATCATATTTTCATCATGATGTTAAAGATGAAACAGCTAATCGTTCATTACTGTTATACCATTATACTGTCATATTGTTGAAAATTGTTATAACGTATCACTATGCTGACTTTTGCTCTTAAAATTTTGTCAACATAATTGCATGTATAGCAGTCATGTTGCTGAATTCGTAATGTGACCTGATGTGATTTCGATGTCAGCAAATAAATAAAAACATATGCAATGCATTAGTTTGCTCAAGATGCTATATCACGCTTGGTTAAGGAAATATGCTGGAAATATGCTAATAAGGGCACTTATTAACATATCTGAAGAAAAGGAAAAAAGGGAAGTCAAAAGCGAGATGTGGTAATAAAGAAAAAGAGAGTAGATTTTTGGAATCAGAAAATAAAAAGTCATTTAGATTATATAAAGAAAACGAGAACATTCTATTAATCATCAAAGATAAAAAATAATAAGGGAGAGTATGCGTCATGGCGCGGTCCGACCACGAATCAGTCATGAAAATTCGTAATTATTATTTTTGCGAAAAATATCACCTCAATCAGGAATCGAACTTGGATTTGTTTAAAAGAAAAGATAGATGTAGCATGAAATATTCGAGAAAGGAAAATTGTGACATGATTAAAAGAGATTCACTACTACACTATGGACGTATAAGAGAAAACGATAGATAGATAGATAGATAGATAGATAGATAGATAGATAGATAGATAGATAGATAGATAGATAGAGATAGAGATAGAGATAGAGATAGAGATAGAGAGAGAGAGAGAGAGAGAGAGAGAGAGAGAGAGAGAGAGAGAGAGAGAGAGAGAGAGGGAAAAATAAAAAAAATATTGTGAATTCATATAAGTCCATGTTCTTGACTATTGTCCGAACATTATAAATAAATAATAATATTTGTAAGAATTATTATAATTTAAATTTTAATTTTAAACAGATAATATATATCGTAAAAATATATATTTAAAAAAAGAAAGTTGTACTCAGTTGAAGTCAATACATTATTGTCAAAATCTCTTAACATTAAAGGAATTGTTATAATTTAAATATCAATTTCGTTAAATATTAAATAGTATATCGCGCATGTATTTATTTTTGATAATTTGATATAAATGGATGAAATTAATTAAAAAAAGAAAATTTTATTTTTTTGAAAATGATGGATAATCTGTGAAGCATCGGCAGTTCAAAATCGTGACTCACTGCAATGTTCTTCATCACTGTTGTCACCACAATCATCCCAGTGATTGCACCTTGCACTCTGTTCGACGCAACGTTGCGTGGTATTACACCTGAATTGATCCAATCGACAGGCTGGTTTCATGTTATTTTCACATCTCTCCTCGTCTCTACCGTTCCGACAATCTAAATAACCATCGCACTTCTTTTCTTTGGGTATGCAAAGTTCCGGTGTAGTTCCAACGCATCTGAAGTCATCTGGCTGGCACTTCCTGTAGGCTGTAACACATCGGATTCTATTTTTTTACTCGGTCATTTCTTATCATTTCTTTATTTTTGTAAACTTTTTTTTTACAGCATATTATGTAATAAAATTAATATAAATAATACAAATAATAAAATGAATATTGTTTTCATCTTTCAAGATATTTAGCTTTAAAAAATTCTTATGTATTGTTGCAAATAAAAACTACAAAGTGTGAAATGTACATATTATGTATGCTTTTTGTAATATATTTGAGAAAATAATTTCCAATAGTGCGTTTGTAAACATGAAATGTAACAAAGTGGAGTGACACACACATCGTTTTTATATAATGTGTCAAAAAGCAATTTGGAATTAATCACACTTTCAGATCCAAACCGTCTCGTGTAATAATTCGTATTAGTCACACAATGTACGACTATATCTTAACAATCACTTGATATATATGTCCACATTATAGATAAACACGCAGAGAGAAACCGATATAGTAATCCAGAACGTGATTTTTCTTACTTTGGTCCATGCAAATCCAAATAAAGTGAGTAATAAAGAAGAAGTGAGTAATAAAGAAGAAGCCAGGCAAAGAATCATGTGAATTTTTAAAGTCATGATCAAGTTTTAGCTGTGGAATATCTCAGATTAATCTAAGATTATTTTTATTCTTTGTAAAAAAAATTAGAATTTAACATCTTATGCATAAAATTATAATAAAATACATGTCCTGAATATAAATCATATATGTTTAACGATTTTTTATTCTTGAAAATATTTTAATTTCTATTGATAATCAAACGATTAAAAAATATCTATCAAAAATTTAAATGAGATATAATGATTTAAGAAATCAATGAATTATAAATAATATAAACATTTTTATAAATGTAAACTTTCAAATTTAACGATTCCTCACTCTTAAAAATATTCTAATCGATATTGCCTAGAGAATATTATGACGTCTTAAAGATGTCTAAAAGACGTCTTAAATATTATAAGACGTCTTATTAAATTATAAAAAAAGACGTCTTTAAGACGTTTTTAAGGCGGTTCTTATGACTTGATTTATGATGCCTTTGAGATGTCTTTAAGACATGTCCAAAAGATATATTTATAATGTCTTTTGATAAAGAGACGTCTTAAAGACATCTCTTATAAGACGTCTTTTAGACATGCGTGCTGTTTGGGTGTCAACTAGAAAACAGAAAAATATCTATCAAGAAATAAAAAATAAGATTTTACGATAATTCTTAAAATCAGATAATAATAATAAATAATATAAATTTTTTCAGTAGGAAGGTCAAATAAATAAAAAGAAAATATTACACATTAGGATGTTTACAAATCTTAGTTTTCATTTATACGGTTCCAATAATCACAATGTCGCTGATTTAACAATATGTAATGCGAGTTATTGTGATAGCGCAATAATTTAATGAAGAAGAAAGTGTGAAGAATCTGCCTAACTGCTGCACGGCTACCAGTTAGCTATGCTCTTATGCGAGTGGCCTTGTCACTGACATAGGCTGTTAACTAGAACACACTCATACTGTGTTATACTGTTTCACTATGTAAGATCTTTGTTGGAACGTAAAACTCTATACATAATTTCAAAGAATATCATTAGAGTACTTTTTTTTAATTGACATATATCACAAATATTTTTAATTCATTTTTTTCCTGAAACGATACGTTATTTATTTACGCTTCTAATATAAGCAAGATTTACTCGAAAACAAACCTACAAACTTTGTACCAAAGGTAAAATATGCAATACATTATTTTACAGTTACTGACTTAGAAATGACCTATGATTGAGAAATGATGATTACTACATGTTAAACAAAATTTCTTGAAAAGTTGATAACACCGACATATTTTACATGCTCGTACTTAACTTTTACAATATCAAGTAGTGTAAGAGCTATGGCACATAAAAAAACTTAAGCAGTCAAACAAATCAATCAATCACAGTCGAGAAGTCTTACTGCTTAAGTTTTTTTTATGTACTAGAGTCTTAAGTTTTTTTTATGTGAGAATCCTTAAGCAATAAGAAAATCAACATTATGAATTTGCTATTGCTTATGTTACTGCCTTACGTTGTCAATTGTGATTAGCTGATTCGCTTATTGCTTCAATTTAATTGCTTAAGTTTTTTTATGTGTCACGGCACACAACGGCCTTTACACTGGTTGCGTTTTGATATTAACTGCAAGTACTGAAAATCTATAATATACGTAATCTGAACTATATATTTTCAGTACTGACAGTAAATATTGGAACGTAACCACTGTGGGCAGCTATGGAACATAGTCATACACTATGTTACACAATATTGACTTGTAATTGAAATACTATTTAGCTTTTTTATTTCACCGTCAGAGTACAGAACAGTCATTTAACGAATTTTTTTAGCCGTACTAACTAAATGCTGCTTTTAAAGCAAAGTTGCATTTGCGCATAATGCGATTATTAATCGATGAATTAAAAAACTCGTTTAAACTTCGATGGAAAATGATATTTGCTCCAGTGATACTTGGTATCAATAAAGTGACACTAAACAACATATATAGCATTTTAGTTGTGTACGATTGTGTCGACTCGTATCATAGTTTGGAAAACACCGGGTTATACACTGTATTACACAGTATTACACAGTATCGCTTGCGCACATTGCTGAAAAACATCCTGTCATCTATATATCTTGCTGAGGAAATCCATAACAGGGTGCAGTAAGTGACATAGAGACAGTATAACATCGTGTTCAACACGGAACGTTCCAACAATAACACAATGGGGCTAGAAACCCAAGTAAAACAAGAAATCATATAAAAGTCAAGATGACATGAAAATGATAATAAAAATTCATTTTTTAATCATGATAAAGAATTGATGAAATTATGATTGTGGAACTTAGCATATTATTTTAAATATTCATATATATTTTATATATTGTATATCTGTGTATATCTGCATATCTGTGTATATCTGTGTATATCTGCATAATAATGTTTTATGTATACACTATGTGTATATTTTATAATTGTTCAATTTATAATTGTTATATTTCATAATTATATTATAAATATATTATTAATTATTGATATTATAAATTTTTTCAGTTAAAACCTTACTTGAATATATATCTGTTTTACATACAACGATAAATTATTAGAAGAATAAAATAAATCTATAGTCTCTTTTCTGATACTAGAATATTTTTTATACGCTATAAAATGCAATAGTTTAGTTTAATTAGTTTAATTATATATTATTGCATATTATTGCATTATTGAAATATTTAAATATTATTGTATATTATTGCATTATTGAAATATTTAAAATAATATGCTAAGTTCCACAATCGTAATTTCATCAATTCTTCATCATGATCGAAAAATGAGTTTTTGTCATCATTTTTGATGTCATCTTGATTTTTATATGATCTCTTGTTCTACTTGGGAAGCGCAACTGCTCACTAAGTAGTTAGATAGTGGCTATTCGTGAGTGCTCAAAAAATGATCTTTCACGTATTGGATACAGACTCACATGTATTTACATCATCCATTATGGCGTTGTCTATTATCTGATTTATAAAAAAGTCGCCAAGTGTACGCGCAGTGTGTATGTGAAAACTCAAATACATATCTTTGCACCAAATATTATATTATAAAATTACATCATCTTACTGATGTTCAAATAATATATAATACTCATCTGTAATAATATGTATTATTTGTATAAAAGATTTGATCAAAAAGTGGCGCCAAGTTATAGTTATAGTTATAGTTATAGTTATCTCGAAAGTTCAATATACTGTTTTTAAAAAAATTAAAAACCTGTGTGATACGTATCTTTATATATATATATATATACTACTCACTTCTAATAACATGTATCATTTATATAAAAGATTTGATATTAAAAAAGTAGCGCCAAGTTGTTACATTATTTGAAAAGTTCAATCTTTTTAAAAAAATAAGAATAAAATTCGACACATATCTTTACATCCAAGAATTTTCAAGACCAGTTAAAAAAGAAATCAGTATATTGACAAGGATACAACTAATTAATTTCTCTTTACTTAAAAAAAACTGTCTATTGAATAATTAAATAAATAAAACAATTAAATAAATAATTTTGTTAATAATTGTATTAAATATGGGAAATATTTTTCTTACTTATATATTATAGTTAATTAAGAAAGTTAGTAATTAATAATAATTTTATTATTTATTCATTAAAAATTACTTAAAAATGATGATATATTTATGACGATAATATTTCGTAAATGTTACGTTTATTTTACGTCATTATTTAGTACACCGATGTCGAAATGATGAAAAATGACCTTAAATTATCGTCATAATAACATTATCTTGCTACTTGGGAAAATGGATTCTGGTGGATTCAGATGGATTCAAAAATAAAAATATGAATCCATTCCTTATGCCTGTAATTATATACAAAAATATTATATACTCGTAGACTCGAATGGATAATAAAAGTAAATGACCAATCCACAATTACGAATTGAAACGGAAGCAAGTTTTATTTTGATGTTCATTAGATGCGATACAAAAAGCAAATGGATAATCTGTATTTACGGATTCAAATGAATTGATCGCACATTTCATTTCTATGTACATTGGATGAGATACAAAAAGTAAATAATCAATCTATAATTAGTGATTCAAATGAACTACGGATAGAAAATATTGGGTTATCGGAAAAGTCATGACGCATTTTGTAACAGATGGCGCTAGTTTATTTTTGGAAATACTAGAGTCATTCGCATCTATGTTATTGCTCATTTGACAATTGACAGTTCTAGCTTCAGTCTAAAAAAAAAAAAATTGAGCGATTTGATTGAGTTTTGGAGATGTTATAACAAGTGAAAATGGAAGACCAAACTGTGCATTTTCGCCATATATTACTGTTTTACTTCTATAAAGGGAAGAACGTCAAGCTTGTGAAAAGTTGTGTAAAGTTTACGATGACAATGCTCTACAAGAACGTCAGTGCCAACGAAATAGTTCACGAAATTCCTGCTGGTGCTGATTTTGATCTCAACGACGCTCTTTGGTCAGGGAGGCCGATGGCCTTCGGTCACCAAGGTTGATGATGACAAAATGAAGGCATTCATCGAGTCAAACCCACGTTACACGACACGAGAGATTGCAAACACATTGAACATCCATCATTCAAGCGTTTACGATCACCTGAAGAAGCTGGAATACGTAAGCAAGATTCCTCATGAACTCAAAGAAGTTCATTTGACGGCGCGTATAAACATCTGCGATATGCTCATTAAACGTGAGGAAAACGATTCTTTTTTGAAGCTTTTTTGATAACTGATAACTGATAACTGATGATGAGAAGTGGATTGTTTACAACAATGTGGTGCGCAAACGGTCTTGGTCCCGACGTGATGATTCGCCTCAAACGATATCAAAAGCAAACATTCATCAGAGGAACGTTATGCTCTCAGTGTGATGGGATTTTAAAGGTGTCGGTTTTTCGAGCTCCTACTAAGAAACCAAATCAATTCGAATGTGTACTGTCGACAATTGGATAGTTTGAACGAATCCATCATCCAGAAACGTCCAGAGCTCGTTAATCCAGAGCTGGTAAAGGAGTTGTGTTCCATCACGACAACGCGAGATCACACACAAATTTGACCACCTGTCAAAAATTATTAGAGCTTAGATGGGATATGTTGCCACACCCATCATACTCGCCTGGCCTTGCGCCGTCAGACTTCCACTTGTTTCGCTCTCTTCAAAACTCCTTGCATAGTATAACGTTTAATTCAGATGAGGTTGTAAATCAGCACCTTGTTCAGTTTTTTGCCGATAAAGACAGGTCCTTCTATGAACGAGAAATTATGAAACTCACTGAAAGATTGCAAAAGGTTATTGAACAAAACGGACAATATATCATTGATTGATCTTTGTTCTTTATATAAATAAATGACCTTTGAAAAGCATAGAAAAAAATACGTCATAACTTTTCCGACAACCCAACAGACAATCCCACATTCAAAAAAGCTAAAAACTTCGACATCGCTTCAATGAATAATTTTCAATATTTTCCAATTATTTCTCGGCTAGTTGCCGATATGTTATGCCAGCAAATTGGCGGGCAGAAACCGAGCAAAGCTTGTTAATATACTATGCGAACAGATTGGCGGCAAAAATCGAGCAGAACTTGCTGACAAAAAAGAAGAGCTTAAAGAACAAGCATATTTTACAGATTTTCGTTAATTTCTTTATTGAACAATTACGTTTTGCATACATAAAAATACATAAATAATAAATGTTTAAATTTTGATTATGATTTCGCTTATATAGAAAGTTTGATAAATTTTGCATGCGAGAAACGGACGCAATCTAATGATAGTTTTCCAATTATTGTGTTTAAATAACTGCATAATGACAGGCTCTGCTCGGTTTTTGCTGCCAATCTACTGGCATAGCATGCTTGTCAGCAAGCTTTATTATATTTTTGAGGGGAGTTTGCTCACATCGTCAGATATTACAGACTCTGTGTGCAATTTGTTGCCTTTTTGCCATCAAATATTGGTAGCAGATTCTCAAAATTTGTTTCTGCAGGTTTTGCTATCGAAATAATTAAAAAATTAAAAGTAATAAAATTAATAAAAATTGAGAATTAAAAATTAAAAGTAATAAAAGTAATAAAATTGAGAATTAAAAATTAAGTAATAAAATTGAGAAGTTAATAACTTTTAATACTTTTAATTTAATTATTTCAAATGAATTAATTTTTAACTTTAATTAGTATTTTAAAACGTAAACTTTAACTTATTAACTTTCTTCCAATGTTAAAAATTTATTTATTAAAATTACAAATTATAAAAGAAAAAATTTATTCCTACTAAAAATAATATTTCTTTATTATTTTAGATAAACTTAACTTACAAATAAAATGATAAATTTATTTGATGATACATATTGTAATTGTTTTGTTATTTTGTTACATTCAATTTAATTTAAAAAATTATAATATTTTAATTTATTATGAATAATGCTTTTTAAAATTAACTTTTAATTTAACTTAATTTAATTTTAATGCAACTTTTAACTGAATTAGTTTTTTATTCGTATAACTTTTAATATAATTAAATTAAATTAAATAAATAATAATTAAATTAAATTTTATAAGCCATTAACTTTAATTTAAATTAGTTTTAAAAAAGTATTTATTAATTCACTCAACCTTTTAATAATATTATGTATAATTGACATAGAAGCTTGATTATTAATGCGACGCGACCAATATATGTATAACACTATTAAACTGAAACTCATAGTGTAAAAAGAAAACTGATCCATTGCGCATAATGGCGGAGATCTGTGATCTCGATCAATCAGAAATTGAGCTCATTTGTAGCGCGAACTATTGAACATATTCAGACATAAGAAGAATGAAGCAATTTAGTAATTTTTAATACAAATTTATTATAAATAATATAATAATAAACTGATAATGACAAAATGATAAATATAAATATGTAACATATAAATGATAAATATAAATATGAAACATATAAACTTTTCATAATAAAAAAAATTTTATATGTTTTCTTTGTTGCACACATGTTTTATTTTTTCTTTTCTTTTTTTGTATTTTCTTTAAAAATTATTAAAATTATTAATTGGCGCAGACGTATATATTATGTACGTGTCCGCACCAAGCAAACGATTACAGTCACAGAAAGAGAAAAAAAATAAATAAAAAATAAATTAATTAATTAACGAATTGTTATTGTTTTGATAGAACACGAGGCACGATTAACACTCTGTTGGCCATATTAAATTTCTGCCAATCTGAACAAAACTTGATTGACTGACACTATGTATCCCCCGGAATGGATCACCTTCCTTCTTACATCATGTTGAAACCTATTGCAAAAACCGTTAATCCTAAAAGATTCATAAGTCTATTATTGATACGCTAAATATTCGTAAAAATAAGAATGGAAGACTATAATACACTGATATTATACTATGAAACTAAACTGCGTTCGAACAAGTACTTTACACGGTATAATACAGTGTGTCCTAGCTGAAAAACAGACATAGTTATCAAGTAATGTCTTTTGGTATAATATGTTCGCAATAATTAATATTTCTCTAAGCGATACAGTTGATATCTTTGTAGTCACTTATTAATAACTGTTTT